TATATATATATATATCATGATGCAGAATAACTGTATATATTACACTTTTAATAAAAACAGAACACAATTCACTTACATGAAAAAACTTGAAAAATGATATCAAAAGCATGTAGAAAAAGTAACAAAAAGTGATAAAAAATAGACCAGAGCAAAAGAAGGAGGCCATCCACCAAAAAAAAGGTAAAAAAATTAAACCACATCTTCCCTCCACAAGCACTGTAAATACTAGTATGTAGTAACCTATGTGATTCAAGGGGAGGTGTTGCTTCTGTAATAAAATCCAGCCATTTTAGATGCCCTCTGTTCCGGGAATAGAGACTTCTGGTTGATCACGGACTCTCAGTACTCATTACACCTTGGGATGAATCAGCTTCATAATACCTCGGCCACCTGGGGTTATGGTCAATTCAGGTATACACAATCACTCTTAATATGTTGCTTGCCAATACACACATCATCTTAATTAATATTCGGGGCAATATTTGTTATATACTCAGTGTTTGTTAGGGCTGATATGGTTCTGAAGAAGGTAGCATGTCCCCAAAAGCATGTTCAGCCAGTTCAGACAATTACAGTCCTACTCGGCTAGCCGCATATCTGGACAGTTATAATGCCTATAGCGGTGCTTGGCTTAAGGAGTGAGATTAAAGGAGAAGTAGGGGGTCAGGGCTTTTCCCCATAGTTCTCCTTGGGGTAACGGGAGGACACAAACTAGCGTCCTCCCGTCACCCTAGGCTCAGTATAGCGCGAGCTGTAGCTCGCAGTATACTGAGACGCCCCAGTATACCGCGAGCTACTGCTCGCGGTATACTGAGACGCTGCAGCTGAAGCGGATCCCAACAATTATGTTGGGATCCGCCCAGCTGCGTGACTGACAGCTGGCTCTGCCTGTCTAGAGGCAGAACCAGCTGTACCCGCCCCGTCTGTTCCGCCAGTCAGCGCTGGCGGATTGGAGCGGGGAGGGGGGAATTCAGCCCCTCCCCTGTCACGGCAGAGAGCCGTGACAGGATCGAGAGGTGAGCAAACGCCGGTATGTGTTCGCTCACCTCCCGATCTACTGAGCCGACCTGTGACAGTCTCATTGGCTAGAACTATGAGGATGAGTGAAAAGCACTCACCTCATAGTTCTCCCTTAGTTTGTTGGTGCAAGGCTAATGAAAGTTGTTCAGTAGCGGTTTGTGAGTATAATAAATGTTATTAATAATAAAACTATTTGCTGTACTGTATTACACCAGGGGAAGGCGCCTTCTTTTCTTTGTTTTTTTCAAGCTTCATAATACTGTTTATAAGCTTTCTAAACAGAATACCATGACCATTTTCTGTGTACCCCATTGTAAAATCTGTACAATTTGGACATGTCTGTGAAACCATAACTGTATCTAGGGCTATTATGATTGCAACAGAGAGAATCTGGAGTAAAAGAGAAAATCTGGGGGATTTTTATTTTTGTCGGAACACTTTTTTCTTAGAATCGAACATCTTAGCCAACTCCCTTCCTACCCTCAGCCTGTGGAGCTAAAACAAGATTACATTTGAGTTGCTGTGTATGTTGTTAACAGTGCATGTGACATGCTGAGCAAAAATCATTTTTAAACAAAATCTCTTATTAAATGTGTTTCTTAATTCGATAACGTAAGCTACACCTACTGTTTATATGTTATAGATCATGGAGTTTGCTCTGTCTGCATGTATCGAAGAATTAAGATCCTCCACAAAATCTAAGGAACCCTTACAGCTTCCATGGGTCCATATTGGATATAGTAAATTTCAACACAGGCTGCAAAACCTGAACAGGATTTTGGTGGTCAACTTCTCAGTGTTGGACTCCCTCCTTCAAAAAATCACCGATCCCAAGCCAATGCTGGTGAGGACATTGCATAACTTGAAACTCTTGGGATTCAGACTAGAAGTAGATCTGTCTGATTCTTTGTCTTCTGCTCATTGGAGTCATTTATTAAAACTGTACAGCAAGACACTTGATTCTGAAAATGATGAATCAGTTAAGTTGCTTCTAAACTATAGCAACCAATCTGGCAAATAGCAAGTGACCTTCTTTAACCACTTGCTGACGGGGTGTTTACACCCCCTTCCAGTCCCGGCCATTTTTTAGTATTCATCGCTGCATTATTTTGAGTTGACGTTTATCCCGTCATACAATGCTGTACTGAAATTAATTTTATACAATTTTTTAAGGACAGATAGAACTTTCTTTTTGTGGTATTTAATCACCACTGAGGTTTTATTTTTTACTATATAATGAAAAAAGTACCGAAAATTGTGAAAAAAAAAAACTGTTTTCCATTTATTATGTTAAGAAACATTTATTATTACCCAATTTTTTAGTACAATATAAAAGACGGGGTCACGTCGGGTAAATAGACAAGCCATAAAATTGCGCGTGCCCGCACAATCGCAAAAAACTACCATACCCAAAATTGGCCATAGGCGACGCTTTAAAAGCTTTTACTACTCATCAATTTAGTGTTATCAGAGATTGATGTCCCCAGAATTATTGCTCACGCTCTGACATTCATGGTGATATGTAAAATCATAATTTTTGCTCATAGGCGCACCAGGCGCTTGTTTGCGTGTGCATGTGAGGTCAGGAGGCCTGGGTTTGTTTTCATTTTTTTTTTATACGTGACTTTAATTTTTTTTTTTTTATGTTTTCACTTAACTTAGGTGGCTAACAAGCCCCCTATGTGATAGCCAATTTAGAGTGTCAGGTCCTCTTTATGGAGACATCAGAGGTCTCTAAGACCCCTAATGTCACCTAGGGACCCCCAGAGAAGCTGATGAAGCACAGATCTGCTTCCCCAGCTTCTCTCCAGCTACAGAAGGCGGAGAATGACAGTTGAATGCAGAAGTAATGTAATATACATCACTTTCTGCATTCAGAGACCGGAGGAGAGATCGGAAGGAAATCGTGTACTGATCCCCCTTTGATCTCCCTGTACAGAGCAGCCATGCCAGTCCCAGCCGCAGCAGGCACAGCGGTGCTCGGGATCGGCGGGGGGCGCACATCCACACACATATTACCAGCGATCGGGCATCTCTACACTGGAGAGAGTGGAACGCTTGTACGTAAACCACCATCGCTGGCTGTTCACATTTCACACAGATTTCCGGCAGGCACGAGCAGAACGGGAATGGACTTTTAAAAACGCCTAACTGCATTCAAGAAGCTGCCGTCCGGCCGTTTAATTACAATGGCCGGACGGCAGGTGGTTAAAATATCACTCTTGTGGCTCAAAATTTTAAATAAGTGAAAGACTGCTTGCTGTTAAAGAGTATCTAAAGTCATTTTTGTTTAGTTTTAGATGTTGGGAGTTGGAAAGGGTTTGATCATCTGGAGAGATTTACCTTCTCTTTATGTCTTGGTGACCATTGTCATCGCAAAATCTAGAAGTATGAGTTGTCACTAGGTCAGAAATAGTGACATTTCTTTGAACGGGGACACTGTCTAAGGCTATTTTCACACCAGATCTGTGGCAGATCTGCAAACGCAGTGCAGTGGATTTTTGCCACGTTTTTACCACAATTTTGCTGAGTTTTTTTTAGCTTTAAATGGGCTTTCAGGTGCAGTTCAGTGCAATCCAGTGCGCCTGCATGCATTTGTGATGCATTTACATGCGTTCCAGTGCGTCTAGACCAGAGAAAATGAGACAAGCAGTATTTATTGATTTTTTTGTCTGGACCGGAACAGACTGTGCATTTTTTGCAGAGTCAGGACAAATTGACATTTATTTAATCAAGGTCTTTATCCAACTGACTGTTTATTGATCTGTCTGAGCATTAAGGATCTGTTGGAGCACTCTGTAGGGCAGGGGCGCCCACAATTTGTCGTCTGGAGATCTACTTTTCAAGTGACGAGCTCAATGAAATCTAACAACGAAAAAACACCTGCATTCAGGGGCGGGAGGGGGCACGGCTGTGCATTGAAGTCACTGGCACTGCAGCCACGCCCCTCACCCACAGTGTGATCGCCCGCACCCGAAACGCAGGCACGTTAGTTCCGGTCCAGGGCGATCTGCAAAAATTCTGCAAGCACTATTTTTGAAGATCACACTGGACCGGAATGCAGGCACTAATAAATTGATGACTGATATTTCCCTTTTAAAATAGAAAAATAAATTGAGGACACAAAGTCCTCAATCTCTTTCTCTGCAGCCCCTGTTCTAAATGAATGGAAAGCACAGAGGCTTTCCATTCATTCAGAAACTATTTTACTACCATCCAGTTTCTGAATGGGGAGGAGCCTCTGTACAGAGTGCTACTCCCCATTGAGAAATTAATGAATGAACAGGAAGTGATGTAAATCACATCCTGTTCATTCATAACTGGGGACACATAGTACTATGTGTCCCCAGTTATTTACAAACACTGGAGTGATCAGCTTATCGCTCCAGTGTTTGTCCTGCACAGAGGACCAGTACATATCACTGATATGTACCGATCCTCCGTCGCTCGCCACGCACAGGGGGGCTCAGCTTCTTCTCTGGATCCCCGCTGCTCTTCAGGGCAGAGGCAGCGAGGGATCTGAGGAGAGGCAAAAGAAGTGCTGCAGCCGCGGAGGACGGAGCGCGGTGAGGAGAGAGAGAGCCGCCGGCTGTCAGATCCTGTCCGAGCGTCTCTCTCTCTCCTCACTGCTCGGCCTCACTTCTGCTCCCTCCTCTGCCGCCAGAGCGGCTCCCTCCTCTGCTGAAGCGCTTCGTTCACTTCTTCTCGGATCCCCGCTGCATACACAGATGGGGAGAGCAGCGGGGATTCAGAGAAGAAGCCCCAGGACATCGCGATCTACCAGTGATCGCTACACAATCACTGGTAGATCATGATCGACAGGTAGATCGCAATCGACCTTATGGGCACCCCTGGTGTAGGGGGTGCGTCTGTCCACTAGAGACCTGGAACGTTGTGCTCTGCATGAGCTCAGCAGTCCAGCTTTCCAATGTGCTGCCAGCACAGGCCAGTGTTTACATGTTGAAGAACACATAAATCCCATGTTGTTTCCTTGTTTTGCATTAAAAAAACAAGGCTGCTATTGGGCTCTGTTTTTAGCTGATGTAGCAAATCCCTGCATCTCATAATTTTGTTCTTTTTCCAGGTTCTTGACATCTATGCTGCCATTGCTTGTCTAGAATCATTGAAACACACCATGCAGAGATCTGACCCTCAAGAATGGATGCGACAAGTAAAAACCATACAAATGCCCATTGAATTGGCCTGCTCTGAAGGATATTTACAGGAACAGGGTGCTTGGTGCAAAACAGGAATAAAACAGATCAGGTACCTTTAGGATTGACATAATAATAAATGCAGTTTGTTATAACCAGACTCTAGGCAGAGATAAAAGACACATTAATGCAGTTCTGTATTTATTATTGCACGATTAAGTGTATTTTGATTTAAATGCAAGCATTGTAAGTAGCTGAATTTGACTTAGGGGGTTATTCACATAGGAGCCAAAGGATCCAGCTGTAGCTTCGGCTCGAACCGAAGGGCTGCTGTCCGGGCTATTCACTATAGCCCATACAACAGCCGAAGGCGGCCGAGCGGCTCAGCCGAGCCGAAGGCATATGCTTCGGCTCGACTGAGCCGATGTGACACCCGAAGAGGGGGCAAACGGCCTGCCGAAGGCCAGTCTTTCGCCCCGCAAATGACAGTATGCTAAATAAGACCAGTATCTTAAAGAAGATTTAAATAACACCAACACTTAATGTTAGAGCCAGTAAGTTGTACCACTGTGCAAGGTGCATGTTGATGGGATGACAGGGCAGATTGAGGGAGAGAACAGTGTGTTGCTTCTTAAAAAAACAGGGGTTCCAAGATTGTGCAAGGTGTTAAAATATAATACAAAACACAATGGCCTGCAGTGGTGGGTCACAGTTTTGATAAATATAAACTTATATTTTTATATGTTCTTTTTTGTTTCCTCAGAGGACTTTGGAATTGTGTATTTTCTATGGCACTTTTTATGGAACATCTCTTGGTGGGAGAAAATCTTCAGGATAAAAAAATGCAGGGACTGATAATAGGCCATACCTTATTCCTTGGGCGTGTGAGTGAGCAAGTGTAATGTACCGTCATGTAACAATTTTAATCCTGTGCACCAAATCCCACTTGTATGTAAGCAGTGTACAACAAACCTTTATAAAACATTTGCAAACCTGTCAGCAGTCTTGAAACGTTTAAAGCATCCATCTCCATTTTGAGAAGTTTTGCATTCTGTACATCAACGCTCCCAGGTACAGGTCACAATGCAGAGAGAACATCGTTGTTGCAGCTGTGAATTATATAGTGTTCTCCCCTGCACAGTTCAGTGACAGTCAAGGTCTCAGACTAAGGAGCGGGGACCAGCCAGCATTCTTCACTATCATGTGATCGCAGGCTGGAGGTTTGCCCACAAAAAAACCTCTCTATCTTGTTAACAAACACATTGGGGCTGATTTTGCATCATCCAATCATGTACAAGCAAAAATGCTGTTGTTGTTTTTATATTTTTCTTGCACATAATTGGGTATTCTTTTTGAATAACATTTTCACAGATCCACTAACCTAAACTACAATTCCCTTGCAAAGTAAAAAAATTCCTCTGCAAAGTGAGCAACATGTCTGTCTTAAGTAAATCAACCCCATTGACACTACTAAATTTGGTCTGGACATCTACATGAGTGACCTCTGGTCATGAAAGGGTTAACAATTGGGTAACACAGTTCTGGTTTGCACTCCATACAGCGTTGTGTCTGGTATCAGTGGGTGGTGCGCACAGTGACAGCAACAGATGGCACCATGCTATACCACAGTAGAAAAAGAGACATCAGCACTCAGTTCAGAATCAAAGATTGAATTGTATTTGAAATACTTCAGTTAGTGATTTTCTGACATGACACCGTAGACTCTTGTTACATTCGTTTTGTTATTACTCTTTGCTTAAAATGTATGCCACTCTATTTTGGAATAGAATAGGGCAAGATTAGGACCCATGTCAAGTTTTTACTTCTATTTGGTGCTTTGTTAGATATTTCTCCTTACTTTCTTTCCTGCTGACAACAGTTTCGCCAAACAGGACGTGAAGGAATTCTTCAACGCGAAGGCAGGGGCTCTAGCTTTCCCCTTTGCTGAGTGAAGGATTTTTTAGTTCTGTCTGTGTTGCTGTTAGAAATTTTTCCTCACTTTCTGTCTGGTAAAAACATTTTCAGCAGGACAGGAAGTTAAAGTAAATCTCTATAGCCCCAGATAGCAATAGAATCTTGAAAATCTAGAAATTCTTTTTTTGGACGAATTTTCGTTATTCAGAAATTTGGCTTATTTGCATCGGGGTACCCCTTTAATTAAGCAGAGGTGTCATATAAATAGTATTATGACACCTCGGCTTCGAAAGATCCCGATTGCTGTGTGGTATTTGACAGCTGAGAATGTCAAATGAGCGTCACGGCTCGCTCGCTCCCCCCCTGTGTTTACATTGGGGCAGGAGATGTCATTTTGTGGCACGTTTTTGTCAGGTTCGGACAGATCGGCGGGACTTTTTTATTTCGGCGGGAGTCGTGCATCGTGATTCACGCTGGATTACATCGATTAAGCCATTTTAATTTTTTAATTAAAGGTATAGTCAAACATTGACTATTTGTTTATTTACTTTATTTATTTACTTTGAATTTTAACCCTTTAGTGAATGAGTAGGGGTACAAGTACCCCTCACTCATTCACAAGGGGGGTGCGGCACCTGGGTGCCCCCATAACTGAAGGGGTGCAAAAAACCCTTGCCCGCAGACCCCCACAGCCACCGGGTCAGGCTTGTGGGGAAGAGGCCCTTGTCCCCAACGGCATGGGGACACCCTCCCAATGCCGAGGGCACGTGCCCTGGTAAGGCGCAGAAGGGGGGCGCTCAATCGTCCCCCCACTTTTCTGCCCTGCCGCGCCTGTGCTCGGATCAAGGGTCTGGTAGGAATGTTAGGGGGGACCCCATGTTTTTTTTTTCCATTTTCTGGGGCTGGGGTTCAAATTCAGCTAATGAATTTCATCCGAATCCCAAAACAAATTGACTTTCGGACCCGAATCCCAAAAAGCGAAATAACGGAAAATCCGAATCAAAACAAAACTAAACTAATTTTTTGCTGGTGCACATGTCTAATATCTAACTCTTCCCCACTCTCCCCAAAACAAAAGAAAAAGTTTTTGGCTTGACATACTGTTTAATAAAGTCCAGCCCATGCCCATGTGGCAGGTTGAAATTAGGCCTCATCCTCCTGATCCTCCTGATCCTCCTGATGTTAAATCCCTGCACTCTGTCAAATGCCAGAGTCTCTACCACCCACTACATTTTTGATTTTTTAAGTTGAGGCCCTGTGGGTAGTCCTCTGTGCTTAGTGGTTACCCCCTCTGACATAGACCTCACTATAGGATTCAGTCCTGGTCAGTGGAGTGAGCCACTGAGGTGTAGTTGGGATCCAGGGGATTGATGCTACTAGAAATGTAAGTTTTTCAAACTTTAGAGGAAGATTTTTTTTGTACAGAGCAGTGTTAAGCAAATTTTTACCCGCTCTCTGTTCCCATGAGATACTCACTAGAACAGAAAGGAAAGAGAAATTACCCCAACAGGAACACAGCAATAAAAAAATGTGACAGGCATTAACTAAAATATGAAGTGTTTTTACTGCTGCGTGTGTCCCCGCTACCTTTGTCTCCCTTCTCGAAGAAAGCAATAACCATTATACAGAATTTCTGACTTTTTCTCTACACCAAGAAAAAAATAAATAGATGGAGTTTTGCTTTTAATGAATATACTGTGGCAGTGGCGTCACTAGGGGAGTGCGGCCCACACCCGAGCGACACCAAAATTACTGACAGTCATTCTGGTGTCACCTACTCTGAAAAGTTGGGCACTCGGTCATGGACCGAGAGCCGGACAGTTGCAAGAGAGAGCATGGGAGTGAAGTCCCCTCCTCTCTCTGCCGGCATGCATCAACAAGATGGCCGCCGGCAGGTATCACCAAAATGACTGCGCATGCGCATGGTGATGTCACGGTGGGGTGTCACCCGGTACCCGCTCTGGGTGACACCCGGCCTCGGGACACCCCTGTACTGTGACAAAAAAAAAATGTTTTCAAACTGTTTCACAAAGTATTGTTTTTATTTATTCGTATTGCTTAATCTGTTTTCCTATAGGTTTGGAATGCAATTGTGTGCAGTTTGCCAAGATGATCCTAATGAGCCGGTCTGCCTTGAATGTGGCCATGTTTTCTGCCGGTCCTGTCTAAAACAGTGGCTTGACATGCGTGACAGGACTTGTCCATTCTGTAAAACGCAGCTGCCAGAAAATGTCACCATGGTTGTTTCTAAAGAAATCAGGTATCATACAGTTATAGTTAGTTCTTAAAGTCAGTCCATGACTGGCAGCCTGCCAACTGTGGCACATGCCAGGAGTATTATTTAATTTATTTCAAGTTATTTTTCGCTCCTCTTGAAGGTACTAACAGTACTAGTAAGAACCTTATAGTTTTCAGTAATTGCTGACACCTTCCATTGTACATCAGTTGAATGATTTGCTTGGTCAGGTCTAAAGCCCAGAGTCCAGGACAATGGAAGGACCCATTTCTTCCTCACTTCCAGCAAGGCATCTTCATTCGCCACTTATGACCTGTGGGATAACTTTGCCTGTGAAGGTTCTCATTCTTCCAGGTCATGGTATATCTGTAAAAAATAAGTCAAGGCAACTGGACTTGCTGTATTTTTCTTGAAGACGTTTCACTGGTCATCCAACCAGCTTTCTCAATTCAGAAAGACTTGTACAAAAATTATCTGGGAATAAATATGGTGAATGTTGCTCCAATCCACATAATCTGCTAATCACAACCAGGTGTTGATTAATTGGAGCTAGGAGATGTTATTAACCACTTGTCCGGGGCAATTTTTTTACATTTGCACACATATGATAAAATCTGAATTTTTGGCTAGAAAACAGCTTCAGACCCCCGCCCCAAAAAAAATATATTTTCTGAAAGCAGAGGCCCTGTAGAATAAAAGATGCTAGTTGCAATTTTTTATGTCACATGGTATTTGTGCAAATGTTTATCAAACAAGTATTTTTAGGATAAAATACTCTAATATGAAATTTAGTTCACATAAAAAGAATATAATACCCAATTTTTGGGTAAAATATAAAATATGGGGTCATGCCGGGTAAATAGATACCAAACATGCCAAGCCTTAAAATTGCGTGTGTCCGTGAAACCGCAAAAACTACAATAACCAAAATTTCCCTTAGGTGACGCTTTAAACGTTTTTACTGCTCATCAGTTTAATGTTAACAGTAATTGGGCCTAGAATTATTGCTCTCGCTCCGACGCTCACGACGATATGTAACATGTGTGGCACAATTTTTGTTTTTGCACGTAGGCGCATCTGACGTGTGTTTGCATTGTATGTGCGTGCATGTGGGGGGCAGGGGATTTTAAAAATGTTTTAGCATTTTTAAATTTTTTTGATCTGTTACTTCAATTTTTACTTTTTTTAACACTCAACTTTATTGCTATCACATAGGAGGCTAACAAATATAATGTGACAGGTCATCTTTATGGAGACATCAGAGGTCTTTCAGAGCCATAATGTCACCAAGGCACCCCAAAGAAGCTGATGAAACAGAGATCTGCTTCACCAGCTTCTTCTTCTGGCTCTAGGAGCCGGAGAATGTGCACAGTGATGCCAAAAGTGATGTAATGCACATCACTTCTGGGTCCAGTGATCAGAGCAGAGATCAGTGGCTGGAAGCCTGCTGATCTCCCTCTGATCCATCAGGGGAGACCCACCATGCTGGTCCTGGACTTGCACGGGGACAGCGGAGCCTGGGAAGCCGACGGCGGAGCCTTTACAGATGCCGGATTGCTTGTATTTAAACAGCAATCATCTGCTGTTTAAAACGAATGCAATCAACACCTGGTTACGATTAACAGATTATGTGGATTGGAGCAACATTCACCATATTTATTCCCAGATAATTTTTGTACCAGAGAAAGTACAAGTCCCATCAGCCACCATGTCGGATTGTGGCTGCAATGCTTTACTGGCTCCTATGCAAAAAAAATACAAAATACATTTTTTTTTAATTTTATGAAGAAGTGTGCATTTATTGTTTTTTTGCAGTGGAATTTCCCTTTATTAGGCAAAAATTTTAACAAATAAAATGGTTCTGATTTTAAAGTTAAAGGAGAACTATGGGGTAACCTTTTTATCCCATAGTTCTCTTTAGGATCATGGGAGGACATATACTAACCTCCTCCTGTGACCCAAAACTCAGTATATAGCGGGCTATTGCCTACTATATACTGAGAGCTCCGCAGCCAGGACGGACCCCGACAATACTGTCGAGATTCACCCAGTTGGCTGATTGACAGCGGGCACCGCCAGCTGTGCCCGCCCCCTCGCCCGTCTGTTTCTCCCGTCAGGGCTGGGGGACCGGAGAGGGGAGGAGGGAATCCCTGCGGCAAGCGCTGACTGACAGTCACCGCTCTCTGCAGGGAGATGATTGGGAAGTGAGGCAACCACGGTATGTGTTTGCTCACTTCCCGATCTATAGAGTTTCATTGTCACATGTTGGCTCTAACTACGAGGATGAGTGTAAATCACTCACCTCATAGTTCTCCTTTAATATCTTGCCAACATAAAACAAAAACATTTACAGTAGAGCTCTGCAATACATACACATTCCCCCTTGTTTTGGCCTTTAAAAAAATACCTGTTGATATGCCAGATATTCAATGAGCTCCTAACTTACTGTTTGAGCTGACAACTCAGTGTCTCTGCTGCACTAAAATCCCAAACAGTGGTGTCAGTCTACCACTCTCGCCTGCCTCTTTAAGTAGACCTTTACCCCCCATACCTCCCATGTACTGATCTTCCTTTGATCTCCAGTAACAGGGTTGCTGTGCCGGTCCTAGCCACGCCGGGCACAGCAGATCTCGGGACCGACAGCTACTACAAGCGATCGGCGTCTCTAGAGACGTCCGATCGCTTGAATGTAAACGGCCGTCGCTGGCTGTTTTACATTTCTAACAGTTTCCCCAGTCATGTGCGCACTGAGCGCCGCACACAAGCGGGGGGAGGGGCAGGATGGCTTAAGACGCCCTCCCACTCCTATAAGGCTACTGTCCGGCCGTTCAGGAACGGCCATGGACAGGAGGGTGTTAATATGCCCTTAGTAAAAATGGCCACCATGAGAAAAATGGGGAGAAGAAAAATAAGGTATGCAAAGAAGAAAAAGCATGCAATTATCTATAAGTATCTGTTTGTAGATTGTCGTTGCTAAACATTTCTAAAGGTGTATTTGTTGTCATTTTAAAGATATGGGTAACGTTCTTCTTTAACATTAGAAAGTAGGGAGCTCTGCAGGCCATTAGAAGAACTCTGTGAGGGCTGGCAACACTGTTTTTTCTAATTATATTTATTGTTGAATAATAAGAGACTGCACCTAAAACACCAGGTGCTGATAATTGATGTATCTGTCTTGGGGTGACCACTCAGTGCTATCTGTCTATTTGATTATCATTTAAAGGGAGTCCATAAAGAAAAATATTGAGTTTAGAAAGCAGTGCAATGGATTTTTCATGGATATTGTATGCAACTTGTGCTTCAAGGACAACAGACCACCAGATGATGAGGTCATACACCATCTAATATCCTTTCTATTCGACAAGCCTGGTAAGCAGCATCTTTTATTAAATTAGCATTTTTTTACTGGGAATGATTCCCATCCATTACTGGGAGAATTTCCATCCTTTTCAGAAACCAACATAATAAAATGATATCTGTTAGATCAAGTACTATCATTTGTGTTGTTTTTATCACACATACGTCATATATACAATAGAAAGTATGTTAGTGGAGTTCCCGTAAATTTCACAATCTCTTGGGGCAGAATGGGGTTGAGTTTGTTGTACTCCATAAACCCAATAATATAACAGGAAACTTCAACACTAAAGCATTTGAGTGTGAATCTATGAAGCATTCCATGGTGGGGAAGCTATGAACACTATTGGGGGATGTAATAGTCAGTGATGTGACGGAGACCTGAATCTTCAGAAAGCTCAAGTCAGGTGAGGTGATCGACCATGTAGGTCAGGAATTTCTAATTGAGAGAGACACGACTCTGGAGATCTAAGCACCACTAGAATGCAGAAATCAAATAGACTCTTCATTAAGAGAAGGAGGGAGGGTACCTCAAACAAGGCTCCAGGTACCATAGGATCTCCAGGTACCATAGGATCTCTTCCACCATAGGAAGAGAAGAGCTTACATACTTCAGAAATGCGTTGTACATGTGAGAAAGATTTTGCTCATTTATGAGGTAGTGCAACTTTAATAGCT